AAAGAACCACAGTGACTTTCCCATTTTTTTTGTGGTTGTGGAGACCCACAATCCAGCCAGATGTCCCTTTGTTTGTCCAGCTTTTTTTCCCCCTCTTCCTTCCTTCCTTCCCCAAGAAATATCATCCAATCTCCATCGGAAAGCTTGGCAGGCCCAGTTTTGGCATCGTCGTCACCCCAGGATCGGGGTCTTCATGCGAGAATGGGTGAGTTGGGGTGGGGTCCTCCTTGGCCAATGCTGCTGGTTTCTTTCAAGTGGGACCTCCTTTCCCATCAGCCAGCACTGCTCAATCCAGCTGTACATCACCTTCCCATGATGGCTTGTTCAAGGTGGCTTGTTTCAAGAGGAGACAGGTCAGCTCTGTACTATGTCTGTCCGTCAAGAGGGGTGGGTGGACCACCCAGAGCATCTCAACTCCTTTTTTATCAAGGGAAGTTAAAGCAGAACACCCCAAGGGGACCAACTCCCCCCCTCTCAAAGTGGTACAGTCCTGGCCAAACCCCACCAAAGCTTTCCTTTCTTAAGCACATCCAACACACACATAGACACATTTCCCCAAACAAACAATAAGGCATTGTAGAATTACATATTTGGTGATGAGGAAAGCTTCCAGGAACATGTCAGCAGAAACATCTGGAGAACTTCCTCAGAAAGCTGGAAATAGGCTTCCCCATTCCACCCCAACCCCTTGCCTTCAAAGGCTCCCCAGTTGTGTTTTAAGGGCCAAACCACTGCCTTGAAACGGTGGCTGGGTGCAATTCCCCCAAATGGTTGCGGTGCTCCATTTTGGGGTCCCGTCACCCACTTCCTCCTCCCTGCTACTCTCACTTAAAAAAAAAAAATAGATGCGCTGCCTTGATGTTCCCCCGTGCAGTGGAAAAAAGGGACCTGCCCCAGATGAAGGGATGGTGTAAGTCCACGGCCCGTGTTTCACACCAGATTTTTGCAGTTGCGTTTCTTGGCCCAGAATGCAAAAAAAAAAAAAGGGGGGGGGCTGTTTTCTCCTCTCCATTCCTGCTCGGGAGGCATTTTTACAAAGAGAAGTTTGCTGGGTCCTCTAGGGGTGATTCAGGGCCTTCAACTGGGCAAAATAAACAGCATTTTCTCTCCTTTTTTTTCAACCAAGGGTTAGAAGGTCAAGCTAAGAGGCTGCAGGGAAAGGTTGGAGAATAAGAGAGGAGGTTAAACAACATTCGCAAGCGGTGAGTCGCTTCCATAGCAGCGGTGGACTTCCAACTCCCAGGGCTGGCTGGGGAATTCTGGCAGTTGAAGCCCACCCCTCTTAAAACTTGCTGGCTGGGAGATTCTGGGAGTTGAAGTCCACCACTCTTAAAGCAGGCTGACTGGGACACTCTGTTGAGGAGCCCTTATAATAGTGAACAAAGGACGTGGGTCCTGTTGCTCTCCAGGGTCCTGAAAGAGAACAAGCTGAGTTGCGTTGCCCTTTTAAGGCACAACTCCTTTTTCTGGCCCCCTACTTAAATCTACTCTTTGGGGAAGGGTTAACTCCTTAGTCCTCGACTTACGGCCACAAGCGGGACCCCCACCCCACAGAACCCCTCTAGGAGAGAGACGGGCGGTTCATAAGTTTGGCATATATCACAAATAAATTTCTGTCGCTAAGCAGGGCGGTGGTCAACCGCTAAGCCAGGTGGTCGCCCTGTTTTGCGACCTTTTTCACCATGGGGGTGAAGCCCACCATCCCTATGGTTGTTCAGCATATCCGTCCGGTCATTAAGAGAACCCAACTTCCCCATTAACTTTGTTTGGTTGGGAAGGCCCCATGACGCTGCAGCCATCGTCCATAAACTGGGGTTGCCAAGCACCTGAATTTTGATCACGCGACCCTGGGGAATGATGCAATGGTCATAAGTGCGAGGACCGGCCGCAAGTCCCATTGTCCACTGCCCTTGTAACTTTGAACAGCTCCTAAATGAAAGGTTGATAAAGAGCTGATATGTAACGGCCCACGCCTAGCCCCCAAATTAGAAGAAGGGCTGGTTGCTTTCAATCTATCCCCTAATAACCTACTAATTCTCTCTCTTCTTGCTTCCCTTTCTTCACACACACACACACCCACATTGCAGCAACTTGTCCATACGCACAACCCTTTAAAACCGAGTCAAGCTCTCAATCAAAGCTGGATGAACCAAGACTCTTTGGAAGAGCTGAGCCACCCAGGGTTTACTTTGGAAATAAAGACGGTCACCTTTGCAAAGAAAAAAAAAATGAAATTATACAGCAAAGTCCAGCCTAACTGTTCTATATATGGCGCCTCCGGCTAAAACAGGTCGTAATTCTGCCAATTAGACCCGTAACTCAAAATAGCCAATCCCTGCCATATTTACGGGCCAAGATAGGGACGGTGGAACCTTTCCAAAAAAAATCAAAATGACCAGTGCGCTTCTGAAGGAGAAACTGCCCCCCTCCCAACCTTGTGAGCAGAAAGCCGAACTTTAATGCCTAGAGGGAGTCCCTGATTTACAACGGTCCATTTTAGCAACCGTTCGAAGCTACAATGGCGCTGGCAAAAAAAGGGACTTGTGTCTGTTTTCAACTCACGACCGTCACGGCATCCCTGGAGTCGCGTGATCAAAATTCAGACGCTTGGCCACGGACTTGTGTTTATGACGGTTGCAGGGTCCCAGGGTGTGTGTGTGTGTGTGTGTGTGTCACACGATCCCCTTTTGCGACCTTCTGACCTTCTTAACCCCCACATTGCCAACTTAACCAGGGCAGTGAATTCCCTGAACAGGTCTCCAAATTGGGCCAAAATTCCCTTTGCAAATGCCTCCCTTAGCCACGGGGGGCTCCGTTGCGGTCGTAAGCCGAGGACCGCTTGTCTTTCTGCCAGCCGAATCCGGCTGGGGAAACCAAGCTGGGCTCCATGCTTTGGCTGGGGGTGTTTCAGCTGCACCCGTTTGCAATCTCCCCCAAATTCAGGTTCAATGCTGGAGAAGGTAGATGGGGGGTGGGTGGGTGGGTGGGTGGGAGAAGCCCTACCACCATAGCAAACTGGGCCGAAGAAGAAGAAGGGGGGTGGCCTGAAAGGGTGGGTGTCCAAAGTCTTTTATTATTATTATTATTCCTCTCCCCGAAACTGCCTCTGGTTCCTAAGCAACTCAAATGGCTTGGAACAAACCTCCTACTATAGGCAGAAATTTGCAGCTTCTCTTTGGCTTCCTTCGTTTAGGCTTTTGTGATGCTGGGAACACCACTCAGCTGTTGGAAGGCAAGAACAGGAGCAACATCACATAAAAATAAGAAGGGGGAGAAATGGATTTTTTCTTCTTCTTTGAAATGCACAAAAAAAGAAAAGATAGGCTCCTAATTTCTTTCCTTCCTTCCTTCCTTCCTTCCTTCCTTCCTTCCTTCCTTCCTTCCTTCCTTCCTTCTTTCTTTCTTTCTTTCTCAAAGCGACTTGCTGGCTTTTTGGCTGACAATTAACTCACACAGTAGGGTTGCACGTTAATTAATAGCCTCCCGGGCAATTATGCCGTTGCTGTGCTAGTTCAAAAAGACATTAAATGTCACCTCTTTGGCTTTTTATTATCTGGGAAAAGCAGTGTTCCTTGCAGGAGTTGCCAAGCACACTCCGGCTGAGCCCAGAGCTTTGGACTTCTGCCAGCTCAAATATATTCCTTTCCTCTCTGGCTTTTTAATTTTTATTATTATTTTTGAATGATAAGGAAAGAAGGAGGGAAGACTGGCTTTCGGTTGGCGTTTCGTTTTGTTTTTTTAAAATCAGCTGGGTTCCCAAAAATAAAAATTAAAAAAAAAAAAGAGCAAGGATTGGAAGGAGTTAAGGCTCTCGCCTTTTGCAAAAAATAAGATTTCTTTTTCCTAGCAACAGAGAAATGGAAGGGGGGGGGGAGGATTAAAGCAGCGATCGATAACCCGGAGGTTTTCTCCTCCAGGCAAGCAGAGTTTTCACCTAAATGTGAATTATTTTTGGGGGGTGGGTGGGGAAATCCTACATACCCTGTTTTGACCTGAATGTCTGCCACTGGGTGTTTTCCCATTCAGACAACTTTCCAATCCCGAAGGTGCATTCTGGAGCCATTTCAAAGAAGGGCGCTCAGCTTGGCTGTGTGCCACCTAACCCCTCATCCCCAGCCAAGCTGTCTGCACTCAGTTCTAGAGTCTTCTCTTCCCCCCCCCCCCGCTCCCGGTTCTGTGCCCCCAAGCAGGGAAATTCAGAAAAAGCAGCATTTTCAAGGAACGCCATAAATTCCAGGGAAAGCAGACACGGCCTTTGCTGTGGGAGCGGATCCTTAGAAATCCAGTAGAATTTAAGACTTTGGGGAAACTACCAAAGAGGGGGCTGAGGGAGAACTAGGTGATGGTTGGGGGGGGGGTATTCAAAACAGGCCTGGGAGGGGGGCAATTTTCTGGCCAGCTCCCTCGACCCGGGGAATCCAAAGGAACTGCAAATTCTTTGCCCCAATAACTTCTCCCCGGAAATCTCCTACCTGTCTCTTTGCACCTTTGCGTGGGTAACCCTGCTCACACACCCCAAAAGGTCCCCTTGATGAGGCAGGAAAATGGGGTTTTCTTCTCTCCCCCCCCACATGCAGACAGACACGCGTGGCTCCTTCGTATCCGTTCGGACGTGCCTGCTTGAGGAGAGCAAGGCAGGAGGAAGGAGGCCATCCCAGGCGTAGCGAGTGATTCGGAGGGAAGGAGCGGACCAGGGTGACCGGCCATCACTCCAGGTCAGGTGGAAAATTCAGAAAAGCGGTGAGCAAATGGAAGGAAAGGCGCCTCTCGTTTGGTTTGGCCCCCAGCTTCTCTACGGTGACATTGTCCAGCAAGAGGGAAAGGAAATACAGAGGGAGAAGGAAGGAAAACAGGGAGGGAGGGAGAAAGGAAGGAAGGAAGGAAGGAAGGAAGGAAGGAAGGAAGGAAGGAAGGAAGGAAGGAAGGAAGGAAGGAAGGAAGGAAAGAAGGAACTAAGGGAATCAGAGAGAAAGGAAGGAAGGTAGAAGGAGGAGGGGAAAAGGAAGGGAAATGGAGGGGAAGGAAGGAAAGAAGGAAAAGAGAAGGAACGGAAATGGAGGGGAAGGAAGGAAGGAAGGAAGGAAGGAAGGAAGGAAGGAAGGAAGGAAGGAAGTTGAACAACCCCGTCGCCTGTGGCGAGGGATCCACACAGTGGATTGGTCCCCCGTCCGTCCATCTCCATCTCAGCGCTGCCCTTTGATTGGCTTGTTTTCACTTTGAAGACCTGAGATTGAAGGTGGATTCCGAGTGTCCACCAAACACGGCAGCAGTGAGGGGGGGGCCGGCTGGAAAAGACCCTGCCCCATCCCAACCCCACTCAGGGCCCAGAGCCGAGACCCTACCATTTGAGGCCCAGGCTCCCGCAGCACCTGGCACTCCTCCGTTGTTTCCAGGGCTGGGTTCGAGTCTCTCCTGGAACCGATCGTGCCCCTCCCGGCTTTTCTTGTTTTTGTTTTGTTGTTTTTTGGCTTGGCCTTCCGTTGTGTTTTTGTGTGTGGTGTCTTCCTCTGCCACGTTCAACAGCTGCTGGAGCTCGTGTAGGGGGTGGGGAAGGAGGTGGAACTGACCCCCAGGGGGCTGTCGGAGAGGAGCGTCTGGGGGGCGCCCCCAACCACCCCCACGCCCACCCCCCGGCTCTCCACGAGGGCGGCCAGGAACTGCTGCTGCTGCTGGCGCAAGGCGTCCGTGATCAGCAGTGGGAGAGCGCTGAAGTGGGTGGCCAGCTGCTCCAGCTTGGACTCCAGGCCCCCCAGCTGCTTTTCCAGGTCTTCGCTGCGGTCATTCAGCTCCGTGATGAGGTCATACATGACGTTTTGCATCTGCCAAGCAAAGGGGGGGGGGAGACGGCTTATTTCCCACCTTCCCTTCCCTTTCTCTATCCTTCCTCCCTTCCTTCCCTCTGTTTTTATTTTCTTCTCTCTTTTCCTTCCTTCCTTCCTTCTTTCCCTTCTCCTTCTCTTTCCTTCCTCCTCCAGTTCCCGACCCTTCCCTTTCCTCCATATTCCTTCCTTCCTTCCTTCCTTCCTTCCTTCCTTCCTTCCTTCCTTCCTTCCTTCCTTCCTTCCTTCTTCTCTCCCTCCCTTTCCTTCCATTGTTCTTCCTTTCTTCCTTCTTTCTCCTCTAATTTCCATCCCTTCCCTTTCCTCCATCTCCTCCCTCCCTCCCTTCCTCTCATCCCTCCCTCCCCTTCCTTCCTTCCTTCCTTCCTTCCTTCCTTCATCTCTCATACCCTCCTTTCTCTTCCCTCCTTTCTTTTTCCTTTCCTTTCCTCTTTCTCTGTTGATCTTTATTGCCATTTGTCCTTTATATCCCAATCCCCTTGAATCAAAATTGCAACATGGTCGAGAAAAAGACCACTGCAGAAGCCTTCCCTATCAGGAAGATTCCTAAAGATTCATTATTTGACCTATTGGCCACGGAGAGACCCATCACCCATCACCACTTAGCCTTCTCCCTTTTCAACAGCATCTCATTCATCCTTTGCTGGTTCCCCCCCCCCCTTTAAAGTGTTCCACCAAAGTTCACTGTGACATGTGGGTCCAAATAACAGGTGGACAATTTCCCCCATGGCTGGCAAACCATCGTTCCCTGCCTCTTGGCTACTTGTTTAAAACAACATTTAGTTTGAGCAAAACCTGCCTGGCAACTGCCAGCAACATCCAAGAGAATGTGAATCCTTTTTTAAACGGTTGCTCATTTATACCAATGTCCGAGCGGTCCAGCTTTCTTTGCCAAAAAATTGCATTATCTCAAAGCATATATATATATATATATATATATATATATATATATATATATATATATATATATATATATATATATTTGGAATTTTTCTGAGTGCAGGCAAGATGAAAGAGGACATTAACAAGCTGATGCACTTCTCTCGGGAGACTTAAGGTCTAGAAACTTGACTTCTAATAAAAGTTTTCCCCAAAGGCCTCTTAAAAGTTTAGGAAGCAGGCCGAGTCATGATGGAGGAATAAAAAATTGATGCCGCTGGCACCGTTACTTTGCAGCACGACTAGATCATTTTAAGCCACTCAATTGTATTTTATTGCCTTTAATAAAGAGCGTTTTCCCCACAAATTCAGTCTAATTTGCAGAAACGTCCAGGCATTAAAAACAGCCACAGAAACGCTGTGGTTTTCATTGAGGTTTCCCTGTTGAAATCAGCCCTTTAAACCTGAGGACTAGGAACTTTGTTTTGCAACTGCTATCTGTGTGTGTGTGTGTGTGTGTGTGTGTGTGTGTGTGAAGAGAAAGGGAAGGAAAGAAAAAAGTAATGGAATGGAAGGAGGGAGGGATGAGGCAGAGGGCAGAGAGAGAGAAAAAAGGAGGGAAAGGGATTGAAAGAAAAAAGAGAAAGAAGGGAAGAAGGGAAGGAGGAGAGAAAGGAAAGGGAGAGGAAAGGAGGGAGGGAGGAGGCAGAGAAGGGCGAGAGGGAGGAAGAGAAAGGGAAGGAAGGAAAAAAGCGAAAGGGGAGGAAGGAAAGAACAGATAGGAAGGAAGGAAGAGGGAGGGAGGGAGGGAGAAAGGAAGAAAGGGGAGGAGGGAGGGAGGGAGGGAAGGAGAAAAAAGAAAGGAAAAGAAGGAGAGAGAGAGAAGAAGAAAGGAAGAAAAGGCAGGAAGGAAGGAAGGAAGAAGGAAGGCAGGCAAAGAAGCAAAGGAACTTAACGCCAACCCCCCAGCACTCCCAGCACCCCCCCCCCCTCGTGCAGCCATGGAAGCAGACCTCCCAGGCATCTTTCCATGGGGTTGCCAGGCAACCTGATGCTTGGGAAAGCCTGCCCAGGAGACGGGGGGGTGAGACGCCAAGCGATGCCTCTTCCGCCACCCCCCTTTTTTCCTTCTGCAAAAAAGAGAATTCCCAAAAAAAGACCTCGGGGATTCCCAGAGGTCATCCAAACAGGTCCCCCCTTAGTCACCTTGGAAAGGTCGACCAGCGTGTTGGCTTGATCGCTCAGTTTCCGTTGTTCCATCTTCACGCTCCTCAACCTAGAAAAATCATGAAAATAACTAATAATAATAATAATAATTCTATATTCTATGTTATAGTCTATTCCATATACTATTTTACAATCTATTCTATTCTATATTCTGTTTTATAATCTATTCTATAATTCTATAATTAATTCTACAATTCTATAATTCTATTCCACCCCACTCAAACAATGGAAGGTCGCAGAAGGGGATCCCCGGGATCACTGCAACCGTCACAAATACGAGTCGCCCTCTGAATTTTGATCACGTGACCATGGGGAAGCTACGACGGTCATCCCTGTGAAAACCGGTCGTACGTTGCTTTTTTCTTCAGGCCCGTCGTAATTTCGAAGGGTCGCTAAACGAATTGTTCCACCTTGAGAAGTTTCAGCTCAACGGCTTTTTGCACAAGCATGACCCATTTTTTTGAGGGGGGGGGGAGAAGAAAAAGCTGGAAATTAGCCGGTTTCCACGCACCCCGCAGCCCCCCCCCAAGAGACCTACTGGTGGATGGCTTGGAGGAATTTCCTCTGGTGCTTCCGGATTTTGCCGTGATCGATCTTCTTCAACAGCTTGGTGTTTTTGTAAATCAGCCACGTTTCCCGAAGGACGTTGGCCGCGGCGTTCTTGATCTGCCCGAGGAAACACAAATCCCAAAATCTCCAATCCCTTTTTCTTCGCCTCGGGAGAGAATTCCAGCTTTCTTCCCAAGGTGGATAGTCTAGAATCTAGACTACAACTCCCATCAGCCCCAGCCAGGGCAACGGGAAGGGGTCCCTCCTAATCTCTGACGGAGAATTCAGAAAAAGGGGGTAAAATAAAATGGCAAAGGCTAAATCTCCTAGCTTGACATCTCTCAGTTAGTTTTAAAAAAAAAAATCCTGGTTAGTTTTTTTTTGGTGGGAGGGAGGGTTAACCCAGGTTAATTTTTCTCTAAGGCAATCACTAAGTTTGATGTTTGGTACCAATAAATCACAGCAAATTCAAGATGGGTGGACTTCAGCTCCCAGAATTCCCAGTCAAAAAGTCCACCTATCATTAAAGCAGGCTGGCTGGGGGATTCTGGGAGTTGAGGTCCACCCATCTTAAACGTGCCAAGGTTGAGAAAAGCTGCTTAGGAAATCCCGTTATTCAGCCAGAGGCCCCCGTGCAAAAATCTGGCTAACCAACCATTTAAGTCAGTGGTTCTCAACCTTTTTAATGCCGTGACCCCCAACCGGTCGTAAGTTGGGGACTACTCAACCGGTCGTAAGTCAAGGACTACTCAACTGGTGCAGCACCGTTTGCAGAATGGGACTTTTGGCAGCTCAGCAGGGCAGAGACAGCCTGGACAATTCCTATTGGCTTTTGAAAGCCAATAGAATTAGACTCTATTCAAGAGAGTCTATTCTATTGGCTTTCCAAAGCCAATAGAATAAAAGGGAGAAGCACAGCTAAGGAAAAGGGGAAAAAAATGGCAGACTGCGTTGTTTGGCGACCCCCGTGAAATGGTCGTTCGACCCCAAATGGGGTCCCGACCCACAGGTTGAGAACCACTGATTTAAGTGCTCTTTCTACCCAAAATGGAGGGGGAAATCAGAAAAAGCAAGGGGGAAAACAGGAAATGCGAAACCCCCATCTGCCCCCCCTTTCTTCTCACTGTGACATCAGCAACAATTCTGGGGGAAAAAAACTGCACGAGAGTCGAAGCTCTGGTTCAAAAAAAAAAAAAAATGCATGAAAAGGTGAATAAAATGCTACCGGATTGTAGCAAATGTCTAAAACAATATATGAAGCCTCCAGGCTTTTGGGAAACCAATTATTCCTCTTTTCTCTCCTTCGGTGAGCAACCGAAGCTGGGAAAAACATGACATGGCAGAGCAAAACAAATAAATAAATAAAAAATTACAGGGATGTTTGAACAAACAGGCTCCGGATGAGTTCACCTCCTCTGGAAAAAAGCATGATTTCTGAGTCAGGTGCCCACAAAGGGAGGGCAAAAAAAAAAAAAGAAACCACGTTTGAATCTTGCTTGGAAAATCTCTCTTTTTCTCAAAAAAAAAAAAAAAACCCCAGACATCGCCTCTGCCTTTTTGGCTTCCAAATCAATTCCCTCTCCAATTAAAAGAAGGATTTCTTTTCAATCCAACTCCTTTAAGGCCTTCCAAGCTCCCCCCCCCCCGTACGGTTGAGAACAAGAAAGCCGATTTAACTAACGCTGCTGAAAGGCAGGCAAAAAAAAAAAAAAAAAATTAAAATGGCTAAGCTCGGAGATGAGGCAGCTGCTTGGCGGACTGTGGAATCGAAATAAAATACGATAAAAATAGAGGTGCTTTTATCCCTTTTTTGGGGAGCGTCCGCTCAGCTCGGGATAGGGGTCTCCGGAATTTGGGGGCTTGGGGTCCTCTGGAATCTGTAGAGGTTTTTTGGGTGTGGTTTTTTTTTTTTGCAAACTCCTCCACAAAATGCGAGCTGTGCAACGAAAGGGTTTGTCCATTCATCAAACCTTCAAGTTCAAGAAATTCATGTTTTTTTTTTGTTCCTGCCTCCTCCGGATTCCTGGGGTTCTCCGTTCTTCCTTTGTGCATTTTTATTTTATTTTATAATATTAGTATTTGCAAGAGGATCAGTCCAAAGCAAAGCCTAGATGGGTTCTTTCTGTCTTTTCTTTTCTTTTTTCTTTTTAATTCCTACAATGCTCAGAGATTCATGCAGGGCTGAGAGGTGGGTTTTTTTGGAAATAATAATAATTTTTTTTAAAAAAAAATAGTTTGGCTTTTGTGTTGCAAAACTCCCATTTCTCACCGATGGAGACAAATGAAAGAGGGATGGGGGGGAGGAACTTGATGCCAATCAGCAAAGCAAAAAAGCTGGTTCCCTGCCTGAGCAGGGGCTGGACTAGAAGACCTCCAAGGTCCCTTCCAATTCTGTTATTCTGGCTTTAGGGAGCCAACCTCCGTGTCCCAAGGCAGTCTATTTCATAGCTGGCCTTCCTCTAAGCTTGCCTTTTTTGGGGTGGGTGTTCAAAGTCTAAGCTAGCTATAAAAGGTTTCCTGAATTGGCTGGCACTACAAATCCCATCAGCCCCTCCTGGCAAGGCCTGCAACCATGAGGTAGCTATTCTGGAAGGAATTTTAAATTTCAACGTTTGGTCACAAGCGAAGGAGATTCTTTCAAAACCATTCAGCATTGGCTTCTCTGTTCCCTGTTTGACCAAGATGGTGACTTGGGATTTTACACTGGCCAAACTGTGGTTTAATCCTGGTTTGGGGCATCAACCGGAAGGCAGCTCAAATTCCACCGACTTGCTAGGCCTCGCCAAGCATAACAGCCAACCGGCTATACCCCCAAGGCCGACCACATCACATCCAAGACACCTTATCCTAGCTTGTTAACCTTCCATTAAAGGCATCATTGTTGGGAATGGGTTAGTTCCCTCCATTGAACTGGAACTCATTTGCGCCAGGTTGAAATTGCTTTTTAATTGAATTCTTTTTGTTTTTAATTGTTGCCCTCGGCAACATTCTGTTTCACCAACATTTGTTTTTACGGACGATTGCGTTTCTCAAAACTGTTTTTAATGGGAGCTTGTTGTATTATTTATTGACTGTGGCTCCTTGGGTCCCGTTGGGAGGAAAAAGCAGTTTGAAACCAAAACAAATATTAATAAATCATAAGGTATGCCCCACCAGGGAGCCGGGAAAGTGAATGCAGGAATGCACGCAAAGCTGTGCTTTCCTCTATTAATTGCGACCTGGAAAAAAAAAAACCTAGAGCCTAATAAAGGCTCTAGTCCTCAAGGTTTTTAATCCAAAATCAAGGAGCATTGCAATCATGGTAACAAATGATTGTTTATATCCTTAAGGACATCCAAAGCAAACATTTATAATATTTGTACTGTGGAATGGAAGAAAGAAATGCAGGATTTCTCAAGGGTGCTAAATGTAAGACCGATGGAGTTCAACTCCCAGAATCCCCCAGGCAGCATGCTTTAAGAGAGGTGGGCATCAACTCCCAGAATCTCCCAGCCAGCAAGTTTTAAGAGGGGAAGACTTCAACTCCCAGAATTCCCCAGCCAGCATGTTGGCTGAGGTATTCTGGGAGTTGAAGTCCATACCCATCTTAAAGCTGCCACGTTAGTGTTCGCAACAATCCCACATAATAACATTGTTTGCCCAGCAGCTGAGCTTACCCGCTTGGTGAGTTGTGTGTCCATCATGAAGTTGTGAACGTGTTTCTCAGCCTTGGTGAGTTCCAGCTTCCGGGCCACCACAGCCACCACCAGGGCAGTGCAACCAGCTCCCTAGAAGAGTCCAATGTTCAGAGTTAGCTCTGAAATCGGGGCCTGGCCTGTTTGCCAATATCTTTTTTATATTCTTGCCTACTTCCTCTGCCTGCAGGGATCCTTGGGGGGAAAAAAACTCCAGCCATTGAGGGGGAGCCCGGGAAACTGAGGTCTAGTTTTGGCTTCAAACCTTCTCCCTAAAAAATCATAATTTTGACAACCCGCTCCGTCTCCCTCCTTTTTTGGGAGGGATTTCTTCCCCCCCAGAAAATTGTGCCTTTGTTGTAACAACACACCTCTGTGCGCCTCCCCCCCCCTCTCCCCTCCCTAGCCAGCCAGGCCTGGGTTTAATTAGAATCAAAAAAAGAGAGATTAGCAGATAAAATCTTGCAATCAAGATTTGGAACCGGGATTATCCTCCCGTCTGCTCTCCGTGGTGCTGAAACGCCGCCCACCCCGAGCATATTTTTTTTAATTCATATTTCTCTCTCTCTCTCTCTCTCTCTCTCTCTCTCTCCCCCTCTCCCTCATTCGCACCACTTTAAAAATCACAGCGTCTCCCTCTCTCTTTATGGTTGGGCCTTTTTTTTTTCTTTCTGCACCCCCTTCCTATATCCTAAAAAAGAAAGAAAGAAAGGAGAAAGAAAGAAAGAAAGAAAGAAAGAAAGAGAAGGAAGGAAGGAAGGAAGGAAGGAAGGAAGGAAGGAAGGAAGGAAGGAAGGAAGGAAGGAAGGAAGGAAGGAACTATGGGGGTCCTGCCCTCCAGAGCTGATATCCTTGACCGGAATTGACCATCCAGGCGGATCCATATTTTGTCTTCCCGATGGCAGGACCGGTTTCAAGGTTTCCACCAGATGCCTCCCACGCTGGGCCCTCCCATAACCCATATTTCTTTTCTGCAGAATGACACTCCAGGGTGGAGAGAAAACTCCGTGGGTTGATCCTTCACTGCTTATTGGAAAAGGCTTATTTATCGTTGCTTTCTCCGCAGCTCCTAGAGAAACCCTTCATTATGGGTTGAGGCCCATATTGCTCCCTTAATTCCTGCCAATTCAGCCTCAAAGGTGAAGGGTGCGAGGTGCGGACGAGATTGGCTCCTGAGACCGCAGAATCAGAAGCCCGGGGAAGAATAAAATCAAGACTGATAATTCCATTTATCCAGGATTGTGGTGAAGGAATCAGGCTAAAAAGCGTGAGAGGCTGGGTTCAAATGCCACCTTAGCCATGAAAGCCCGCTGGGTGTCTTTGGGCCAATCGCCAGGAGACGGTGAGTTCTAGTCCCGCCTTAGGCATGAAAGCCGGCGGGGTGTCTTTGGTCCAATCGCCAGGCGACTGGAAGTTCTAGTCCTGCCTTAAGCATGACAGCCCACCGTGTGACTTTGGGCCAATCGCCAGGAGACTGGGAGTTCTAGTCCCGCCTTAGGCACGGAAGCATCCCTTTAGGCATGTTTCTCTAATATAGACTGTCCTTGGATGGGGAGGTTTTGCTGCTATCCCAGACCAAACGCCCTCGGAGAACGGCAGCCTCTTTCCCATCCTGCTCTGATTTCTTGGAAGCCCCTTAAGTCACACGTGTGTTCGGCAATCTTTCCCAGCTTCCCCCCCCCTCTCCCCTGCACCCTCAACATGCTAACGTGCAAAGACCAATCACCTCTGCCTAGAAAACCTATCACAACAGCCATCAATCTTCCGGCCTCCGCACCCAGCCACGGAAACCCACAACTGAGAAAGTGAGCCTTGAATGAGCAAGTGGAGGTGGTGTTTGGGAACGCACGACCTTTCTGAACATGCACATGCACGGGGGTGGGGGGCAGGGCCCTCTAAGTTGACAGACAAACATGTGTCCAAGCCACAGCTTTGACCAGGTGCAATTATGCATTAAAAGCCAGGCCGTAGGCCGAAATCAGCTGCAAACAAGTGCAAAAAAAAAAAAGGAAGAATTTTAAAGCATTTGGTTCCCGAGGGAATCCATAGAAAGAGGATTCTCTCTCTCTTTCTCTCTCTCTCTCTCTCTCTGTGTGTGTGTGTGTGTGTGTGTGTGTGTGTGTGTGTGTGTGTGTGTGTCCCACTCCCCTAGCCTTCCTGGCAAGGAACTGGCTGAGCTCATCTTTATCCAAACAATTATCTCCCTGTCACGATTGCCTGGGGCCAGGAACAGCGCAAGGTCTGAAATGACACCAACATTCACATCATCTCTTTAAGGCTAGCTGAGGGCTGGAGGCAAGATCTTAAAAATTCCTGGAAGAATTCCCTACCCTCGGATACCGCTTGTGATCAATTGTAGGTGGGGCCACAATTTCCATTCCTAAGCAAGGGGAGCAAGTGAAGAGAACAACAGAGCTGGAAGGGACCTTGAAGGTCATCTAGTCCAACCCCCTGCTCGAGCAGGAGACTCTAGACCATTTCAGACAAATGGCTGTCCAGATTCTTCTTAAAAACCTCCAGTGATGGAGAAGGGAGGGAGGGAGGGACGGAGGGAGGAAAGACGGAAAGAAGGAAGGAAGGAAGGAAGGGAGAGAGGGAGGGATGGAGGGAGGGAGGGAGGGAGGGAGGGGGAGGGAGGAGTGGAAGGAAGGAAGGAACGGAGGGAGGGAGGGAAGAAGGAAGGAAGGAAGAGAGGGAGGGAGGGGGGGAAGGAAGGAAGGAAGGAAGGAAGGAAGGAAGGAAGGAAGGAAGGAAGGAAGGAAGGAAGGAAGGAAGTAATGGTATAGCAGGGGGTTGGATTAGAAGACCTCCAAGGTCCCTTCTTATTTTGTTAACTTGCTTGCTCTGTGATTCTGCTATTCTTTCTTCCTTCCTTCCTTCCTTCCTTCCTTCCTTCCTTCCTTCCTTCCTTTTTTCTCCATCCCTGGAGGTTTTCAAGAAGAGACTGGACAGCCCTTTGTCTGAAACGGTCTAGGCTGGGTCTCCTCCGTGCTCAAGCAGGGGGCTGGACTACAGGACCTCTGAGGACCCTCCCAGCTCTCTGATTTTGTGTATGTGTGTGTGTGTGTGTGTGTGTGTGTGTGTGTGTGTGTGTGTCTGTTACCAGGGTTGGACTGCTGTTGATGAGTTAAAGGATTCGTGGTGCTTGTTTACAGCTCACGTTCCTTCCCATCCTCTCCCAGCCTTCCACGCTCCCTCTGGCCCCCTTTTTCACGGGGGAGGCTGGGTGTTGAGACGTGTGGACACGCTTCCAGGTGGTACACGTCAACTCCAGCCTGTCTCTATTAAAATGGAAGCCTTTTTCCCCACCCCTCCCCTCCTCTGGAGATTAAAACCGAAACCTGTCTGAGCATAACAGATTCTGTAATTAACAGATCTGATCTCCATTCTGGAGCCTCCTTGTAAGAATAGAAAAACCCAATTTGCACGGAGGCTTCTGTGTCCCAGCCTTGTCTCTCTCTCTCTCTGTCACACACACACACACACACACACACACACACACACACACACACACAAATGGCAACCGTCTTGCAGTTTAATATGCAAAGGGGGTGTTTTCCCCTCAAAAAAAGAGCCATTTTGTTTAAAAAACAGGAAGGAAGGAAGGAAGGAAGGAAGGAAGGAAGGAAGGAAGGAAGGAAGGAAGGAAGGAAAATTCTTAGAAGTGACAGCAAAGAGTCGATGCTTTAAAAACAACAACAACAACAACAACAAAGAACAAAGATCCAACAATGCAATTTTTTTTAAGCTCAGCTCCAAGGGAGAGAAACAGGCTGGGACAGAAACGGCGCTGAACGACGGTGGTTCACGCTGCTGCTGGGAGAAAAAAGTAACTTGTGACCCATTCTCACACTTATGACCGTCGTAGCATGATCGGGTTCTGGGTGCTTGGCAATCTGTGTGTATTTGCAGTGTGTGTGTGTGTGTGTGTGTGTGTGTGTGTGTGTGTGTGTGTAGTCACATGGTCACCATTTATGACCTTCACAGGGAGTTTGCAAACAAGCGAAGTCAATGAGGGAAGCTGGCAAAACCAGTCGTAAAACGGGGCGTGACTCACTTAGTAACATGGCTTAGCAAGGGATGGAAGTTTGGGTCCCAGTTGTGCTCGTAAACGGAGGAATATGTGTAGCTGGGAAACTCTTGTGCAAAGGGAACAAGAATCTCAGCTGGTTAACCATCACATCGTTCACTTAATGTGGCAGTAAACACTAAACCAGACTCTTGGCTATTGTTCGCGCGAGCACAGAGACTCCAGTTGGCTGACAAACCCATCCTATCACGCTCTCCTCGCCAGGACAGACCCAGTCAGAATAACAGAGTGGAAGGGAACCTGGAGATCTTCTAGTCCAACCCCCTGTAACATTTCAGGCAAGTGGCTATCCAGCCTCTTCTTGAAAACTTCCAGTGGTGAAGAAGGAGGGAGGGAGGGAGGGAGGGAGGGAGGAAGAAAAGAAAGGAAGGAAGGAAGAAAAGGAGGGAGGGAGAGAAAAAGGAAGGGAGGGAGGGAGGAAAGAAAGGAGGAAAGAAGGAAGGAAGGAAAGGAGGGAGGGAGGAAGTAAGGAGGGAGGGAGGAAAGAAAGGAGGAAATAAGGAAGGAAAAGAGGGAGTTAGAGAGAAAGAGAAGGGAGGGAGGAGAAAGAAGATAGAAAAGGGAGACTGAGATAGAAGAGAGAAAGTTGGATGATGGAGAGATGGAATTATACAACAGAACATGGATGGAGAGATAGAAACTGGATAGACAAGACGGATAGACAGACAGATAAAAGAGGGAGAGGGAGAGAGGACGCAGCACACCCACTCAGAGCTCTGAGTTCTAAACCTCCACCTTCCTAGCCGATTCCCTCTGCTCTGGAATTCTTCGCCATCCCTTTGGCAAGGCCATCGCTTCCCCACTTGAGAAAGATCAGCAACCCTCTTCTGCAATCCCCATTTCTCCTGCCCAGCCCTCTTCCCACGAGGCAACGCCGATCAAGACCATTCCCCAAATAAAAGATAAATGAACCAAAGATGGCCAGCAGGGAAAATAAGACTTTTTTTAAAAAAAAAAAAGAAAAGAAAGAAAGAAAGAAAAGAAAGCAAGCAGCATTGCTTAACCCGATGGGTGGACAGGCTGTTGCAGACAGAGCCCAGCTGGAGCTGGGAATCCGGGCAGGGGAACATCTGGACCTGCTCTGGATTGACAGGGATCCCTGTCAAGACCCAGTTGTTCCACATCCTGTTTCTCACAAGGGCCTGCCAGCATTTTTGAAAAAAAAAACAACCCCAAAAACCAAAATTGGCCAGGAGGAAGGGAAAATGTATTTAAGTGGCAGACTGCTCTTATACAGGGAGGCTTTACTTTTAGGGAACATAGCTAGGAATCCGGCTGGGTGACTTTGAGCCAATCACCAGGTGATGGTGAATTCTAGTCCCGCCTCAGGCTTGATGTCCGAAGGGGCCATGGGAAAATCAATCCGTGCGCAACCACTTTGCACCCTTCCCCAAACTTGGGAGGGTCAAAAAAATCCAATATATTGGGAAGCCTCAGAGCTGAGCCGAAGCTCTTATGCCTGTAAACGTGAGCATTTATTTTTATTTTTTAAAAAGGAGATTTTTTGTGCCTTACCATGATCCCCGTGAGCAGGCAGACCCCTTTCCCACAGTAGGTGTGGGGCACCATATCGCCGTAGCCGATGGACAGGAAGGTGATGGAAATCAGCCACATGGCGCCCAGGAAGTTGCTGGTCACATCTTGCTGGTCGTGGTACCTGCCGAAGGAACGCAGGTCACTGGGGTGAAATGACACAGCCACAATCAGGGGGCACCAACACAATTGTCATGGATTTGGACCCAGCTGGATGCCCTCTGGAGGAGTGTTGCTCAAGCTCGGCCACTGGAAAACAGGTGGACTTCAACGCCCAGGATTCCCCAGCCAGCCTGCTTTAAGAGGGGTGGGCTTCAACTCCCAGAATCTCCCAGCCAGCAGGCAGGTAGGCCGAGGAATTCTGGGAGTTGAAGTTTTTCCATCTTAAAGCATATTGGCTGGGGGATTCTGGGATTTGAAGTCCACCCATCTTAAAGCTGAGGAATTCTGGGAATTGACGTGCAGCCATTGTAAAGCATGCTGGCTGTGGAATTCTGGGAGTTGAGGTTTTTCCATCTTAAAACATATTGGCTGGGGGATTCTGGGAACTGAAGCTCTCTTCAAACACAATTTCTTTGTTAACATCTCATGATTGAGTAACTCTTTGCTTCCAGACCAAGAAATTCCGATTTTAAGTCCTCTCGGCTCACAGATGTTGGGCCGCAGAAGCAAAGATCTAATCTTGTCTCTGGAAAAATAAAAAAATAAATTATAGATCTGTGCAATGCATAATGAAGCTGTTTTCCAGGGGCCTGCAAAGAAGCTTAACCGGAATATAACCTTTTCTTTTTGGCTGAAGAGAGAGAACAATCAATAGTCATTAACCGGGCTCTCACCAAGCCAGAAAACTGAGCATAATAATCCCAGAGGATAGAGGTTGGGGCCTTGCAGAAAATTTCCCAGATAAAGGAGATTATTTTCATTTCAAGGGCTTTGGTGTCATATTCAGAAGTGTAAAAACTGGGGGAGGGGAGGGAAACAGTCCCACTCTCGGACAGATGTTGCGACGATGGGAGACAACAACCTGGCTAGTCTAAATTAGCCAACGTCCTTGGGATGTTTCACTGGCGTTCTGCAGATGCTAGTGTGTCCAGACCAGTGTTTCTCAACCTCTGCAACTCGAAGATGGGTGGACTACAATTCCCAGAATTCCCCAGCCAGCAGGCTTTAAGATTGGTGGACTTCAACTCCCAGAATTCCATAGCAAGGAGTATGGACTTTAACTCCCAGAATTCCCCTACATAGCTAAGCCAAGAAAAGCACCCCTGCCGCTAAATTTCCAAACATTTAGCCCGTTTTTCACACTTTGGGGAGTCCCAGAAAGTGTGAAAAGCAACCGGGTGTGTCCCTCTTGACAGCGCAAACACACACGCACACTGCTTTCCCCATCTCTTCACACCCATGAGTAATGCTGTGGTGCGCACAAACACACACACACAAAGACACACACAAAATAGAACAGCCAGGAAAAGGAAGCTTTGCAGGAAGCCATCGACTTCTCACCATCCCCCCCCCCTTTCCTTGATTTGGCTAATTTCGCACCCGGAGCCCTTCAGGAGGCAGGTGGCTCCGCTGGGTCTCCCTTCCCCGGTTGTTAGGGAGTCCCGCCTACACCCCACGTGGATGTCACCTCCCTACGAGCACATCCTCAAGAAAAGACGAAGCCAAAAGAATGTGTGTCGAACTGTGTGTGTGTGTGTGTGTGTGTGTGTGTGTCACACATGCCTCTTTTCCAGCAGCTAGAATTTTCCCAGATAAGGCCAGCCCAGCAGGAAGGGAGATGACAAAGAAGGTGGAAAGCCTCTTTAGATTAGATAGATAGATAGATAGATAGATAGATAGATAGATAGATAGATAGATAGATAGATAGATGATAGATAGATAGATATAGACCAGTGGTTCTCAACCTTTTTAATGCCGCGACCCCCAACCAGTCGTAAGTCGAGGACTACTCAACTGGTCGTAAGTCGAGGACTACTCAACTGGTGCAGCACTGGTGCAGCAGATGGGACTTTTGGCGGGCTCAGCAGGCAGAGACAGCCTGGACAATTCCTATTGGCTTTTGGAAAGCCAATAGAATTAGACTCTATTCAAGAGAGTCTATTCTATTGGCTTTCAAAAGCCAATAGAATAAAAGGGAGTACCCAGCTAAGGAAAAGGGGGGAAAAAAATGGCGGACTGCGTTGTTTGGCGACCCCCGTGAAATGGTCGTTCAACCCCAAATGGGGTCCCGACCCACAGGTTGAGAACCACTGATATAGACAGACAGAAGCTAAAGATGGTAGATAGATAGATAGATAGATAGATAGATAGATAGATAGATAGATAGATAGATAGATAGATAGATAGATAGATAGATAGATAGATGATATAGAGATAGAGATAGATATAAAGATAGATAGATAGATAGAGAGACAGACAGATAGATAGACAGATATAGACAGACAGACAGAAGCTAAAAATGGTAAATAGATAGATAGATGATAGATAGACAGACAGACAGAAGAGAGATAGATAGACAGACAGGAAAGAGAGAGAGAGAGAGAGAGAGAGAGAGAGAGAGAGAGAGAGGGATGGATCCCTTTAACCTCCCAGAAAGAACCAGGATCTGAATTCAACCAGGATCTACCCATCACTCTTTCCTCCTACCTCCCTTCTTCCCCAATAGACCAACTGAACGGCGGATGATCCCCAGTCATTCTTCGACCATATTTGAGCCGGGCCTTGTGCTCCTCAGCCGCGCCCATCCTTAAGCAGGTCCTCCCCTCCCCACCACTTTCTCCTGGCGGTCGCTGAGCGAACGCCGCGGCTGTTAACCAAAGCCGCCGCCTGCCGGGGGCTCACCTCTCGCAGACCCGCACGGTCCAGGCGGCGATGATCCAGAGGGAGATGCTGAAGACCAGGAGGACGGTGCCGGGGCAGATGGTCATGAGAGTCTTCATCACGAAGCGGGTGTTGAAGTTGATCTTGTTGAGCGCCCCGATGCTGCGGGACGAGGCGTCCGTGAAGAGCTTGCTGTGCAACAGCATCACCCGGGCGATCAGGTAGAGGCGCAGGAACATGGGGATGGACAGGATGATGTCCACGTCGGCTTCCGCCCGGGAAGGCGTGTACGAGAAAGCCAGCCGGGCGGTCCAAAAGAACTTGTACTCGCCCGGGATGGGGTGCACGGCGCAAACCAGCATCTCCAGACTGATGTACAGGATGCGCTCGTACGTCATGGCGATCCGCCAGTCGTCGGCCCCGTTGTCGATCACAAAGAGCTAGCCAGGGGAAAGCAGGTGGGGGGGGGAGGAGAGAGAGAAAAAAACCCATTCAGAGCCAAGTTCCTAGTCCTCAAGAAACACACACTCCTCCCCCCTCGCTCAATTGTCGTCGTAAGTCGAGGACTAGTTCTCTAACACCCTTTCAACACCCTGTTCTGTCAACTGCTCCTGCCTTTCCGGTTTCGTTCCCTTTGGAATTTTCTTCTCCCATCCCGCCCAGAGCCAGTGAAATCAATGATCGCCCCTTGGTGCCCTTTCTTTTTAACATTCAAGCGGAAAAGAGCCGTAAAGATTTCTTGCTGGCAACAAAACCAACCAGGATCCAGCCTGTTTTTGGCTGGAAAGTGGCAATTATTGACAAACTGGTTGCCTTGTTTTTTTTGCTGGCAAGTAAAGGAAAAAAGATATATTTTTAAGGGTCTGAACATGTCTGACGATTTTGGAGAATAAAGACCCGGCTTGACACGGCACACGAAAGAGGACTTTGAGCAGGAACATGCAGCAAGTAATTATCATTAAAATAGCCGTGTCCTCCTCTCTAAATGACTCAACAAAAGAAAGAAAACAACACAACAACAAAAAAAAAAACAACCAGAAGTTTTCTGCGTCAAGCTAACTGGTGCAGCCTAATTCTCCTTTTAAAAGTTGCTTTTCAAGTCTTCTATCAACTTTCTCCACTCAATGTCCAGGCTAGAAGTCCAGAGTTGATCCAGATGTTTCTCTTCTTAGCTAAGAGACTGACTAAGATGACCGATTGTGGCTTGTCCGCTCCAAGGAAAGAGACATCTGGCTGGGACAAAAGCCAGATGTTGCAATAGGCAAGGTTCAGAAAGATTCTTGGCTTGGCACAATCCAGAGAAGGAGGGAAGAAGGAATTTAATCAGCATTTTCCCACAATTTTCCCGTGTGCATGTTTTTACCGTAAAGCACTGCTTTTTTTTTTCTGGAGCATTCGTGCACACTGGATTTATTGCACAACCTGGTCAAATCTGCTTCTAATTCCTGCATCGTCTGGCTGGGAATCGTCCTAGCTTGTCTTAAAGGATCTGGATCTCTTCTCCGGAGGAGAGGAATCCATGGGCCAGGGGTCATCCAGAAGCTCAATAGGGCAACATGATGATGATTAACCCAGAGAAACCTCTGCTCTTTGGCAGCCAGCGTTCCAGCTGAGCGGGATCCATCCCTCTGTGGCCACAAGCAGGGAGGACAAAGGGGGGGTCCCCCCTTCCATGAGCAAGCAGACCCCTCCCCCAATGTGAATGGCGCTACCAAAGTGCCATGGACACCTTAAATCCAGGGCAATTGATTTGGTGTTTGCTGATACTAACAGGGATTGATGGATGGATGGATGAAGGAAGGAAGGAAATAGGGAAGAGAGGAAAGGAAGGAGGGAGGAAGGAAAAAGGGAGGAGGGCAGGAGGAAAGGAAAACATGGAGGGAAGTAGATAGATAGATAGATAGATAGATAGATAGATAGATAGATAGATAGATAGATAGATAGATAGATAGATAATAAAATAAAATAAAAGTGTTGAGAACTACTGGCAGAATCCCCTTCCTTCTATTTCAACAGAGCCCAACTCAAAGCAAAAAGCTTGAATGAAATCGGGATTGGTTTGAGATGCCTGAGAATGAAAGGCACACTGGAACGATGCTCCTGTAACCATGGAGACCCACAGCGGTGGGATGCTGGTGGTGCCACAGAGCCACTGGATCTCCCCAGGGCTTGGTGGGGGGGGGGTGTCATCTAGACTGAGAAATTCTCTTCAAAGGAAAAGTTAAATAAAAGAGAGAAGGGGAAGGGGTAGATAGATAGATAGATAGATAGATAGATAGATAGATAGATAGATAGATAGATAGATAGATAGATAGACAGACAGATAGTTGGATGGATGGACGGATGGACAGATAGATAGACAAGGAAGGAAGGAAGGAAGGAAGGAAGGAAGGAAGGAAGGAAGGAAGGAAGGAAGGAAGGAAGAATTGATTTATTTTCCTTTCCTCCCTTTCCTTTCCTTCCTTCCCTTGTCTATCTAGCTATTCCCTCCTTCCTTCTTCCCCTCCCTCCCTCCCTCATTTATCTATTTCCTTCCTTTTCCCTCCCTCCTTTTCTTCTCTCCCTCCTTCCCTCTTTTCCTCACCTGTCTGCCTCTGCCTATCTATCCAAACTTCCATTTACCCCTCAAATAAACTCCCTCTCTCTATCTATCTCTCCTTATCCAAGCTCTCTGTCTCTCTGCTCTCTCTCCAGATCCGTGTCTCTCAACCTTGACAGCTTTCAGATGCATTCCCCAGCCAGCTGGGCAGACACTGTTCTGTTCTATACTTAGTCCTCAACTTATGACCAGGGCTGGCTGGGGAATTCTGCCCGTTGAATTCTGACACCTGTCAGGGTGAGAAATACTGCTCAAAACCAATTATCTATCCTCTCTCTATTGGTCAACACCTGCCTGCCTGCCTGCCTCTCCATCTATCCATCCTCCCAGCTGGATAATTCTCTTTATTTTTAATATCTGGAGACGCCTGCTGATTCATACCCAATCGAAACCGCAGCAAAAGGTCGGGCGAGAAAGCATGGCTTTGCCAAAATAGTAATAAAAAAGGAACTATTAAGCAAAGACAGGCCAGTCACTCAATCTGAGCCCATCTTGATGACCCCTTCGGGACCCAACACTTTAAAAAAAACAGACTCCAACTCTCTGTGCTATCTCTCATATTAAAAGCAAAATCAAAACGGCCTGGCTGAACCATCTCCCGCTCTGCTGAAGCCTTAAAAGAAGAAATCAAAGCAAACACATTCAAATTCGTCGGATTGCGTCGAATCTCTCTTAAATACCTGGATTTCCCGGGTGTGATACGCAATAATCAGCCCCAGTAAAATTGCAGTGGAGAAGCTAATGAGACACTTCAGGGCCAGGGAGAACATGGACCCCTGCAAAGAAGAGAAATATAAGAGATTAAGTTGTGAAGGTACACAACTACACACACACACACACACACACACACACGGCCTTCCTCGTACCGAGCAGGCAAAGCTTAAAATTAAATATATTTTATTCGTTCTCTGCAACAGGCGATACGACTGACCCCCCCTTCAAAAAATAAGATTTAGATGGATGGGTCGTCCCCCTGGCGGTCCAGTCGCCACCCGATCTGTTAAAATAATTCAGGTAAATCCTCGACTTACCCACTACTCATTTAGCGACCGTCTGGAGTTAAAACAGCACAGGAAAAAGGGATTTAGGACCCTTTTCCACCCTTGCGATCAAAGTTCAGACACTTGGCAATTGATTTGTATTTATGACGGTCGCCATATCCTGGGGGGGGGAGGTTCCTGTGATCCCCTTTCACAACGTCCTGACACTGGGGAAGCCAGATTCACTTAACAATCGTGTGACTTAACAACAAAGTTCGTGAAAGGGGGCCAAGTTCACCACAGGTCTCGCTTAGCAATTGTCGTCGTAAGTCGAGGACTAGCTGTCTAACACCCTCTCAACACCCTGTTTTGTCAACCGCTCCTGCCTTTCCGGTTTCGTTCCCTCTGGAACTTTCTTTCCCTCCTGTCCCTAGCCAGTGAAATCAATGATCACCCCTTGGTGCACTTTCCTTTTAAAAAATCCAAGCCAGAAAAGAGCCGTTAGAAGATTTCTTGCTGGCAATAAAACCGACCTAGGCCAGAATGCTTGTAAAATGGTACAAAGCTGACTTAAATATAAAGTCTCCTGCCTGAACAGGGGGTTGGACTAGATGACCTCTAAGGTCTCTTTCAACTTTTATTATTATTATTATTATAACTTTCTCACCGAGCCATAGAAATTTTGGGCTTGCGGTCGTAAGTCGAGGAATACAAAGTTGGAAACTGCACCTTTCACTCACAAAGCAACTTCCTAACCACATGACTGACACAACGGCAGCGATTTGTTTAGCGACCGTGGCAAGGAAGGTCGCAAACCGGGGCAAAACTCACTGAAGAAACATCTCTCTTAGCAGCGGAAAGAGGCTCAAATGTGGTCGTAAGCTGAGGTCCAGGTTTATTATTTTTCCGCTGGAACATTATTACCACAGAGACTTTCGGAAATTCCCCTAAAAATCAAAGCGATGGAAGTCGGGGTAACCTTTAGCACAGCGAAGGAACAAAAAAAGATTTAAAATCAGAATGAAGATTTCCTTCAGGAATTAAAAGAATAGATCTGAGGTATTTTTTTCCACACCGATCATCGATTTCTCTGTGTTGGAAAAACAGAAGAAAAAAAAAATCCCTCCGGAGAAATATGTCCTATTTTTCCAGGACTACAACAAGAAAAAAAAATGAAAAAGACATAAACCTGACTAATTTGAGCCGTCGTAAGATTGAGGACTGTCTTGTATTTGCCTGGAAGATTTTTCGGCTGGCCACGGGCAGGTGGGGCGAAGAACAGGGATGAAAGTCAAATTCTGAAGGAGCAAAGCTGCCTAGCTGGATAACTTTGACATCTGATCTATTAATTCACCCAAAATGCCGGGTTTTTTCCCCCTCATGGAAGGAAAACCTGGACCTCAGAGATCATTTAGTCCAGCCCCCAAATTGGTGGTTGAGGCAATGGGGTTTCTTTTGTGAGGGTTGAGTTGGCAAGAGGCCAACCCATCTGCTGGGCATTGCAAATCACGATCAACGGCTCAGCGCGAGGCCCCAAAACAGCCCACTGTAGAGCTGACTCAACAAACTGTCATGGACGGAAAACCTGGCTTACAGTGCCGGGCTGTTGAGGCAAGGCCTGAGTTGGCAAGATCGCCAATCACAAACAAGGGCTTAGCACGAGGCCCCCAAAGAGACGATCATAGAGCCGACTCAACAAACTACCATCGACGGAAAACTGGGTTCAGAGAGCCTTTTCATCGGATGCTGGCCAAATCTTCATATCTCGGCTTGACGGGAAAAGAATAAGATCACTTTTAGGCAGGGTTCCCTCCAAACCGTGCAAAACTGTGGTTCCCTAGCCGGGGTCAACAGACAAGCCTTCTTCCTTCCAGCTTGGGAATCTAGGATCGATGCTGGCGATTGATTTTGCTAAAAAGCAGCCTTGGGAACAAACCAGCTTTCAGCCAGGACTTTCCCAAATCAATTAGGAAAAGAGCCAGATCTGCCTGCAGCCGGGCTGGCTCCGTGCCATAGTTGCCCGCCCCGCAGGAAGGGAATTCTTTGCTCGCCCTGGGCGCAGCTGTTACAACTCCCATCTCCTCTGCGCCACCCACGCAAGGGGATTCCTGCCAAACGAACCGTGTGTGTGTGTGTGTGTGTGTGTGTGTGTGTGTTTAATACAATAGAGCTGACCCACAAGGGTAGGAAAGGAGGGGTGGGCATAATTCAGGATTATTAATAGCTTGGGTGTTTACTTTTCTTCTAATCATAAAGCAGAGCAGAACAGGGATTACCAATTCTGGCAGTTTCAAGATGGGTGGAGGTCTGCTTCCAGAATCCCCCAGCCAGCACCCATCTTCAAGTTCACTAGGATGCTGGCTGGGGGATTCTGGGAGTTGAAATCCACCCCTCTTAAAGGATGCTGGCTGGGGGATTCTGGGAGTTGATGCCCACTCCTGGCTGGGGAATTCTGGGAGTTGAAATCCATCCATCTTAAAGGATGCTGGCTGGGGGATTCTGGGAGTTGAAATCCACAAAGCTGCCAAGGTTGAGAAAGGCTGGCTTAAAGATTAATTGAATAATTTGTCCTCAAGTCCATAAAGATTTTCTCCCAGTTTCAGATGCTTTCGAGAAAAAAAAAACAAGGTCCGTCCTTACCTGCATGAAACCCCTTCCACTGGCTAACGCTGCTCACTCAAAAGCTGGCTGCTTTATCCTCTGCTGAACTGTGGCTGGGCGAGTAAACCAGCACTGGGAGATTTTATCGCAAAATGGATGGGAGGACACCTGCAGTCGGAAAACACCGGCTCCCCCCCCCCCCCGCTTTCGTGCCAGGCTGGATGAATGATTTGTTAACCACCCGGAGAGACACACAAGTCAGATGGGCAGTCAAGAAATGTGATAAATAAATAAGCGGAAATTTATCAGCCATGCCCAGACGTCTCGGGTGGGCGAGATTTGGCCGGAGAAAAGCAAAAAAACGCAGGCGGAAAGGAAGCCGAGATTGGGCAGGTCTCGTGTGCCAATTCCTTAGTCGCCACGATATTAAAAAAAAAAAAAGAGAGAGAGAGATGTCGAGACTCTGGAAAGAGCGCAGAGAAGAGCAACGAAGAGGATCAGGGGACTGGAGGCTAAAACATACGAAGAACGGTTGCAGGAATTGGGGAATGGCTAGTTTAGTGAAAAGAAGGACTTGGGGGGGGGGGAACCCAATGGCAGTCTTTCAATATTTGAGGGGCTGCCCCAAATAAGGGGGGGGGTGTCCCCCTATTCTCCAAAGCACCAGAAGGCAGGACAAGAAACAACGAATGGAAACTGACCAAAGAGAGAAGCAACCTGGAATTAAGGAGAAACTTCCTGACAGGGAGGACAATTCACCAGTGGAACTGCTTGCCTCCAGAAGTTGTGGGTGCTCCATCACTGGAGGCTTTTAAGAAGATTGCTCCAGGGGGTGTATCGACTTCTCCCTCCTGCTGCAGGAGGGCTCCCCACTAGAACCCCTCCCTGTTTACACATCCCCGCCAGCTGGCAATATCCTACAAAGACGCAACAGGTGGGGATAACCCAGGTTAACCTACCTGGAGGTTGGCAGGCAGGGCCCCAAATTCACGCCCTCTTTTTGCCCCCCTTCTCCTTTTCAAGCAGAGAGGCTGGGAAAAGCCCCCTCCCCCCACTTTGCCTGCCAGATAACCCCCCCTCCCCTTCCTCTCTTCCAAAGCCACACAGAATTTGCAAGATTGCCCTGATGGAAAAGCCATCAGCCATTTTTTTTTCTTGTTAGGTGGGGGCCGCGGGAAGAAACCAAGTGTGTGTAATGGGTGGGGGGGGGAAAGTCAGGTAGAAAAATGTTATTTCTTCACCCTGGGGAAGCTGAATTGCCCTCCCTTTCCTTCTATTCTCTCTCCACCCCCACCCCACCTCACTTATCTAGCAACTATAATCCATCACCTTGGAGATGGCAGGGAAGTACTTGGCTTGCCTGGGGGGGGGCAGTGTAGGGGGGGGGAACAAAAGAGTTGGGGAGCCAAAGGCAAGGGGGGGTGTCTGTTCTTCTCGTCCACTCCATTTATTCCCGCATCACCCCAGACAGACAAAGTTGGTTCGGTTTACGGGGAATCAGCCCATGCCCAACTTCTGGGGTGGAGTGAGAGGAAGGCCCACTAAGAGAGGGGAGCAAAGAGGGGGGGCAAGATTGGCTCTCCCCCCTCCCCATCCAACTTTGGAAAGAGGTATGGAGGGGGGAAAGGAAGAGAGAGAGAGTTTAGGTCCCTTCCCCAAGCAGCCAGAGGCCCATCCTAAGTACCTGCAACAGGTATTCAGGATAGGGCCATGCTTTAGAGAAGCCCACCTGCCAGGTTGCCCCCCACCCCTCAACTTTGGAAAGTGATCTGAGGAAGAGCAGAGCTGGATCCCCTGACCTTGAGGCCCCTTCCCCAAACAGCTAGCCCCTATGCCCTTGGGGAGCCCCTCCTGGATGGCTTGGCCCCTTCAACTTGACCCTCTTCCTCTTCTCAACTTCATCAAGCGAAATGATGGAGAGAAGGAAGAGGCGAGCCGGGCCCACCCACACTGAGGACCTTTCCCCAAACAGCCAGACCCCAAGCGGGAAGAACTTTGAGGAGCCCCCCCCCAACTGGCTGCCACCCCCTCAACTTTGGAAAGAGATATGGAGAGGAGAAGGAGGAACAGAAGAAACAGACCCCTGGACGCTGAGGGCCCTTCCCCAAACAGCCAGACCGTGATCCAAGCGGGGTGCACTTTAGGAAGCCCCCCCCAACTGGTTGGTCCCCACAGTGACCCCCCCTCCCTCTCTCAACTTTGGAAAGAGTTATGGGGAAGAGGAGAGTGAGACCCATTGAGGTTAAAGTCCCTTCCCCAAGCAGCCAGCCAGCCCCTATCCAAACGGGGTGCGCTTTGGGGAACCCCACTAAGTGTCTGTCCCCCCCCTAGCGACTCCCATGCCCCTCAAAACTTCGGAAAGAAATATAGGGAAGAGGAGGGCCAAATCCATTGAGGTTAAAGTCCCTTCCCCAAGCAGCCAGCCCCCTATCCAAACAGGGTGCGCTTTGGGGAACCCCACCAAGTGTCTGCCCCCCCATGACCCCCTTACCCCTCTCAACTTTGAAAAGAGGTCTGGGGAAGGCCAAAATCCAGGGAGATTCAAGACCCCTCCCCAAGCAGCCAGCCAGCCAGCCAGACCCCCCTCTCCAAATCCGGCGCGCTCGGGAGCGCCCTTTGGGGAGGGGAGTCCCCCTCCCCAGCCCGACCGGGCCCCCCCTCCTCCCGCCCCCTACCTTGGAGTACAAGCCCCAGGAGAGCTCCGTCTCGATGACCATCACCACGATGCCGAACATGCCGAAGATGAGCGCGTAGTCGCTCAGCCGCTTGCGCTTCTCGAAGAGGGCGCGCCGGTGGCCCAGGCGGTAGCCGAGGTTCTGGTTCTTGCGCTTGGGCGCCTTGGCGGGGGGCGGCCTGGGGGCGCCGCCGGCGGAGGAAGAGGAGGCCGAGCCGGCGGAGGTGGGGGGCGCCTTGCGAGCCGGACCCTCGCCCGCGTTGGCGTGCAGGAGCCCCGCCGGCGAGTGGTTGTCCTCCCGGGAGATGACGATCTCCGGCGGCGGAGGCGCGCCGGCCACCAGCAGTTGCAGCGGCTGCGCCTCGTCGGGGCCCGGAGCCGGAGCCGGAGCCGGCGCGGGAGGCGGGTTGGCGTCGAGCAGGTTCCGACGGGAGGCGCTGAGCCGGCTGAGCGGCTTCATGACGCCGCCGCTGTACTTGCACGAGCTCATGGCGATCTCGGTGAAGGGGTTGCTGTCCCGCCGGTGCGCCAGCGGGCTCGCCTGCCGGTGCTTGGCCGCGCCACCGCCGCCGCCGCCGCCGCCTCCACCGCTGGAGCTGGGCGAGTGGCCCGGAGCCGCCCAGCCGGGCTCGCCGCTGACGTTGGGCTGGCTGCCGTGGCGGGAAGCCGGGCGCAGGGCGGCCACGGCGGGGGGAGCGCGCAGGGGACCCCCGGAGGCCGCCACCGCCGGGGCCACCGAGGCCACGGGAGCCAGGCTGGGGGGCGCGGCGAGCTCGCCCCCGCCCGAGTCGAGGAAGGGCGCCGGGGGCTCCATCCTCCTCTTCTTCTTCCTCCTCCTCCTCCTCCTCCTGCGCCCGGCCCTGGCCCCTGCCCCGGCTCAGCGCGCTGCCCGCCCCAGCGCAGGGGCATCCAAGCGGGCCCCCCGGTTGCCCAGCCTGGGCTGGGGCTGGGGCGGCTGGCGGCGGCGGCTGCAGCCGAGCTGCCAGCGGGCGCGACTGGCAAGCCTTGGCACGCTCGCCTCTCGGGGACGCGCGCCCGGCCAAGCCCCCCTTGCCCTGGGCGCGCGCTCATTGGCTAGCCGGGCGGCGGCGGAGAGGGTGACATCACAGCCCCCCCACCGCCCCTCCCCTCCCCGTGTTGTGGGGAGGGGGTGAGAGAGAGAGAGAGAAGGTGAGCAGGCGCCCCCTCCCCAAAGGCAAAAGCACCAGGACTGCGCCTGTGCGCGCGCCGGCAGCACCACGGGATTCGTTGGCTGCTTTGCGCGCTCGCTCGCTCGCTCTGCGCCCCCCCCAACTTCCTTCCCCCCCCCCCGCAGGCTCTGCTTCATTCATTCGCCTTGGAAAATACCCTGCCTGGCTCCGCCTCCCGCCCCCGCCCAGCCCCACCCGAGACCGGGAGGCGTGGAGGGGCTGGGCGGGCAGGTGGGCGCAAGCAACAGGTGGTGATGCTGCGTGCCTGGCTTGCAAAAGGGGGGATGAGGCTTTCCCGGTTGGATGGCTGGCACCACGTCTCTTGAGGCCGGGGAACAAGAGAGGGGGAACAAGAGAGGAGCCGTTGCGCCCCCTCCCCAGTTGTGCCCCCTCCCCCGTTTACATCTGGCAGGTAGATGCCCCAACATCTGGAAGAGCTGGTCTCACCCAGCTGCAGGCTCTGTTTTTGTTTTTTGTTTTAATTTTAACCCCCGCCAGTTCTCTCCAACACCTCTCCAATTCCCATCAGCCTTCAGCTAGGAGGATTCTCTTAGGGCCAGGTGAGGTTCTGATTGGGGGAGCCAGGAACCCCCGCCCTGTCCCCTCCCCCGTTTTAAAATAAGGGGTAAAAATGACTCCTTCCAATTCTAGTGCCCATCTCCTCCTCAAATCCTCAAAGTGGCTTTTGCTTTACCTGTTGCACGGCTGTTTAAGGGCCACTCCGGGCCTGCTTGTGGCTATTTTAGGGACGTTGAACACCATTGGGACGGAGGGAAGGCTATCAAAAGGGGGTCCCCAAAGAAGCCCAGCATCCCCCCTTCTCTGGGCCTCAGTCAATAAACTGAACTGGATTCTTCTACATTGCAGAAAAATATGCCAAAAATAATAAATCTGTCTTTAAAAATTCACCTTCCTAGAGAGCCTAACGGGGATCTTTATTTAACCTCTTCTGAGTCCCTTCAGGGCAGAAATGCATTTTGAAAGAAAAGAATTTAAATTCACCTGCATTTGTTGCCTTAATTTTTTTGTTTTTTCCCCTTCTGGGTCAGAAACGGGAGCACGTAGGAACATTGCAAAGAAAGTCTGGAGTCACCCTTTCAGTTGTACCTCAGCAAATCGGATGGACATCCTTGAATTAAAAAAAAAAGTTATTACATCCTTTGGAATCCTCTCATGATTATTTTATTTTCTTCTTTGGGATCGCTCATCTCCTGGCTGCTGGAGCGAGCCCCCAAGAAGCAAAACTCAACCTTGCAATTCTTTCTGGATGGTGCCGGAAATTGTCAAAAAGGCTGGACAAATTCAGCTTTGGGCTTTTGCATCCACCTTTCCCACAACTGGGGGAAAGAGACCAGCATCAACATTTTGAGACATGGGGATTTTTTTTTCACCATTTGTCTTGCAAGGAAAACACACACACACACACACACACACACACACACACACACACACACACACAAAACACAGCCATCCTTGTTGGTCTTTCTCTGAAGGGAAAGACGCGTTTTTGCTCAACAAGTTGCAACTGTCTGCCAAGGCTAGGAGGCCAGGACAGTGTATTTATTACACGCACAACAGTCCATCTTAGTGGCTGTTCCAAGTTGCAGCACTGAAAAGTGACAGTTGTGGCCACGTGATCCAAATTCCAAACACTTGGCAACTGACTTGTATTTATGACGGTCGCAGCGTCCCCAGGATCCTGCGATCCCCTTTTGCGGTCTTCCGACAATGGGGAAGACAGATTCGCTTAACACGCGTGTTGCTAATTTAAGCGCTGCAGAGATCCGTTGAACTGCGGCAAGCAAAGTGGGACAGACCTCCCTTTACAACTGTAAATTTTGGGTGGAGTTGTGGGCGTAAGCTGAGCACTGCCTGCATTTCTAGCCAAGCCAAATGCTTGAAGGGAACATATCGGGGATGCAGGCACCTCAAATTACCTTCCCCCTCCTATAACTCTTTGAGGATCCTCACCATTCAAGGGCAGTCTACCTGCACGAGTGGGAGAAATGTACTGCTTAGGCCTGCCTTGGGAACACCTGGCTGGATTCTGCACCAACAGGGCACAACGACCTTGTACGCACACCCACTTTCCACCTTGCCCAGTTTTAACCCACCCACTCAATCCAGGTTGCAGATGATTAGAGGACTGGAGGCTAAAAAATATAAGGAACGGCTGCTAGAACTGGGCATGTCTAGTTTAATGAAGAGAAGGATGAGGGGGGACATGATAGCAGTCTTCCAGTATCTCAGGGGCTGCCCCAAAGAAGAGGCAGTCAAGCTCTTCTCCAAAGCACCCGAAGGCAGGACAAGAAGCAACGGATGGAAACTAACCAAAGAGAGAAGCAACCTGGAATTAAGGAGAAACTTCCTGCCAATTAGAACAATTAACCAGTGGAACTCCTTGCCTCCAGAAGCAGGGAATGCTCCAACACTGGAAGTTTTAAAGAAGAGACTGGACAGCCATTTGTCCAAAATGGTCTAGGGTTTCCTGCCTGAGCAGGGGGTTAGACTAGAGGACCTCCAAGGTCCCTTCCAACTTTATTATTATTATAAGGGATGAAGCCGCCAGTCATGACTGCATCCAAGGAGAGGCCAAATCAGTTCCAGGGGTGTCATTTTCCGTTTTTTTTTTTTCTTCTTCTTGCGATGTGGCTTCAGTCCCAGTTGTGTGTGTGTGTCACCTGAAGTATTTCCATGAAACGGAAATTAACTTCCTCCAGCAACAGATTCGGCAGTCTGCTTTTGCAAGGTGTCTAGACGAGCGGAAAGGGTTTAACGACATGATAGCAGGGTTCCAGAATTTGAGGGGCTGCCCCAAAGAAGAGGGGGGGGGTCCACCTGTTTTCCAAAGCATCTGAAGACAGGACAAGGCAGGACTAACCAAGGAGAGAAGCAACCCTGAGCAAAGGGGTTGGACTAGAAGACCTCCAAGGTCCCTTTCAACTCTTGTTATTCTGCATCGCTTCTGTCATCCAAGTTACGGTTGTCCCAAAAATGCTTTTTTTTTCAAAAGGCAATAAAAAGAGAGACAGGCGGGACTTTTAAACAATCAATGGGCTTTATTAGGAGCATCACAACACCTCCCTGCCCAATAAGATGAGAGAAAAGTCGGGCTTTCTCATTAATATTAACAATTAATGCCTAATACGGGAGGCCTTTGCAGGCTAAAACAGCAACAGAGGCAGATTGGGGGGGAGGGGTCCCTGCAAACAGCTGGGAGGGCATTTCCCATTCAGAGGGGGGGGGGTGGGGTATCCAGGCTGAAAGCAGCCCCCTCCCCAAATTCCCCCCCTCAAAATGAAGCAGCCTTGCAAAGCTTTTCACAACGTACAGCCCACCCTTTGCAAATGCATTTGGCAAAAAAAAAAAAAAAAGCTGAGTTGTTTAGTTGCCAACTTATTTTAAATCCCCAGGGCTCCTATGCCACAGGGAGCTTTATAAAACCCAGCATTGGAGCGGAGTTAAGCAGAGAGGGGGGGGGGATGGTTAAAAAAAATAATCAAGAGGAGCTGCAGAATTGCATTTTCCAATGCATTTCGAATGCTTCTTAAAAACGCTTCCAATCAAAATGTTGGAATGTGGCTTTTTGGAGTCTCCCCCACTCCTCCACCCCATTTTCTGGAATGAAATCCCTACAGCTGGAGGAGAAATTGGCCCTCTGCAAGGGGAATAGAAGATTTGTGGAGGGAGGGAGGGAGGGAGGGAGGGAGGGAGGAAGGAAGGAAGGAAGGAAGGAAGGAAGGAAGGAAGGAAGGAAGGAAGGAAGGAAGGGAGCGACAGACGGAGAATAAGGCACAGCAATGTTGCTTCCCCACCTTTTAACCACAGAGGAAGGTGGCATTGGGAGTATTTCCAGATCCAGACGGAAAGCTCCAGTGGGAGAAGTGGGATGTTCTCCCCCACCCACCCACTCACCCATGGGATTCTTTCTCTTTCCCTCCACAGGAACAAATCGGAACAACAACAAAACTTGCATGAATTTCAAGCTCCAGGCACTGAAGTAGAGCATAGTGGAAGGACCAAAAAAAAATCAGGATTTTTTTTCCTCAGTGGAAGGACAAAAATCAGGATTTTTTTTTCTCAGTGGGATGACAAAAATCAGATCACCCCCCCCCCCTTTGGAAAGCTGTAAGCGAGGATGAAAAGGTCTGGCTTGCTCTGCCCCCTGGTGGCGGGAAGCTGTACTGTCCTCATCTCAAAAGGGGGAGATAAGCCCGAAGATGGACCCCGTTATTTCTTCCACCAATGGGGAGAGGGATCAAGACTTATCAAAAGGTGGGAATTAAATCTTCCTTCCGAGATACCTGCCAGGTGGGGGTAAAAACAAGTAGTAACCCTGCTGAGATGGAGGAGAAAAAAATTTAAAGAAGAAAAACCGGCACTGGATTATAGTACTTTCTGGAATGGAGTCTCCACTCCAGGAAGGAAATTCTCATAGCTGTACAACAAAGTTTAATGGCTCGTTCCTTGCCTGGGGCATCTGCTTGGGAAGGACCTATACCCACGTCTTCACCCCTCTTTGGTCCTTCAGCCAAGCCCCAGCCTAAGCCCCTCCCCATCAGGTGCCGCCCTCCCCAAAAGAGCGGCAGAGCACAGACCGGGAAAACCCAGCCATTCCTAAAGTTTGGTCTGGATAAATAGGAGCAGCTTCTCCAGCTGAGCCTCTAAGGACAGTTCATCTCCATCGTTGGTGATGACCCAGTCAAAAGGGACGCCTTGGTCTAACCCGCACTCGGATTCCGCGTCGTCAATTCCTGGGGGGGGGGGAAGATGGGAAGAAGAAAAGATTTGAACTTCAGATCTTCCCGCTTCGGTTCAAATAGAAAATTGGTGGCTTTTGCAAACACGCCCACACCGAAGGTACCCGACTGGAAGAGGCTGCCATCCACTGTTCTCCGGAGTTTCTTAAGGACTAGAAACTTAGCAGCCCTGGCTTTTGCAAACATGCACACACAAGGCGCCAGATTGAAAGAGGCTGCCATCTTCTGATCTTCGGAGCTCTTAAGGACTAGAGACTTAGCATTCCCGGCTTTTGCAAACACACACACACACAAGGTGCCCGATTGGAAGAGGCTGCCATCCACTGTTCTCCGGAGTTTCTTAAGGACTAGAAACTTAGCATCCCCGGCTTTTGCAAACACGCACACACACAAGGCGTCCCTCCGACATGTTCGCACCGTCCCACTTTTACCTGCCACAAACACCCATTTCCGTCTTCGCCGGGTCTCCTCCGTGGCGATCACCCTCACGACTTGCACCAGGTCCCCATACACGTCTCGAAACCACTCCACGTCCGAGGATCGGCGGGTGTCACTCACAATCTGGGTTGCAAGGTTGGGAGAGGGAGAGAAAAAAAAATGACCCCTTGGGGGACCCGAGTTTGAATGCCGCATTCTGCTCCTCCCCGGTTTTAAGTCGATTCGCCCCATTCGCCCAGCCCAGCCAAGGAACCAAGATGGGTGTTGGGAGTTGGTCCCAAAGGCAACTTACGACTATTCGTTTAGTGACCGTTTGAAGTTGGGGCAGTGGAAAAAGGGACTTACTTTCACCCTTACGACCGTTGTAGCACCCCCCGCGGTCACGGGATCAAAATTCAGACACTCGGTCACTGACTCATATTATGACGGTCACAGTGTCCCCTTGGGGTCATGTGACTCCCTTTTGCGACCTTCCCACAAACAAAGTCAACAGGGGAAAGCCAGATTCACGAAACAACTGTGTTTCTAACTTAACAACAGCAGCGGTTCACTTAAGAACGCTGGCGAGAAAGGTCGTAAAATGGGGCAAAATTCAGCTTCCTTCTCGCTTAGCAACGGAAATTTTAGGCTGAACTGCGGTCGTAAGTCAAGGACTGCTTGCATATTCACTCTAACCCTTACCCAGATGGGTTGCGTCAGGCCCTCCACCACAATGCGGCAAAAGAAACCAGGATCGCTCTGGCGTCGTTCTTCGCCCCAGCGGATCATGTCTTCCCGATACAGTTCCTTGTAATCGCTGGCGTCTAAAAGCCGCTGGAAGTCCAGGCCGTGTTCCTACGTGCAAGAAAACCGACATTTACTTCTGCAATTCTCCAAATTCAATTCCTTAAAATCCCCCCAAAGGGTCCTAATTCACCTACGGAACTCACCACCCCATGAAAAGCCTTAAAGCGAGAACCTGACAAATCGCTCCATTCCCAGGAGCACAATGTCCTTTTAATCCTATCAATTTTTAAGTACACCAAGGATTTATGCAGGGTTATTTTTTAAAAAAAAAAATTCAAAATTTTGCACTCCGATCAATCCAGATTCTATCTCCAAAAACCCACATTAAAAAAGCAATCTGTTTTAAACTAAGCTATCTATTTAATATTTCGTGCTCAAATAAAATCAGATTCTACCGAAAAAACCCATATAACAAACACAATCAGTTTTAAATTAAATTACCTATCGAATGAGAGTGTCATGCTCAAATAAATCCAGGATCTCCCCAACCCCCCCCCCAGATAGTTAAAAGTAATAAGGCACAATACATCCGTTTTATTATGCATATTTACCTTTGCATATTGCTCTTTCAGAGGCCCGGATAAGCGGAGAATGGTGCAAACATCCAGCCCCAACCTGCCAGCAAAAGACAAGAAAAGGGAAGTCAGAAGTCCACAGATTTAGAGAGCCTCTCTAGTCAGCAGCAGTCTACCTCCCAATTCCCCAAAAACAGAGGCCAAACGATCCCCCAAAACTCTGGAAAGACGCTGGAAGTTGGAAGCTGTTTGATCCAATTGCCCACTGAGATGGCTTTTCTGCCCGGTTTTGCTAGGAAAGAGCGCCAATAGAGCTTCCAGAGGCAGGAGTAGTTTACCACCCAATTCATATCCACAAGGACTTCCAGTTTTTTTGTCCCCCACCCCACCCAGTTAAGGCACTGGACCCCTTTCTCTAACCAACAATTGACCTATCTATAGATTATAGCTAAAGAACAAAAAACTGGATTTTAAAATAAATTTAGACCTGCTGGGAGTTGAGATCTAATCAAATCTAGATTTTAATTTAATCTAGGGGGTGGACTCCCACCTCCAGGGCAAACAGGGGGCTTTTCTGCCCTCAATTCTTTTTTTCCACTTTTTCCTTTGCAAAAACGGGCGGCCGCATTGGGGATTTTTGCATCCAGTTGCATTGATGTTTTGCATTGATCGCGTGTCTGTATGCACGTCTGTATGCACGTCTGTATGCCTAGGAGAAACGCGTGCAAAGGCGGGGGGCAGGCATTTGCAAACCCTGGACAGGGGAGGGGGAAATATTGAGAGGAGGGGACATTGCCAAACCAGTGCCAGCCTTGCAGAGAGGCACGTGGAGGGGTGGGTGGGCTTGGCAGGCAGCCCACCCACCTCGTCCATCATGCCAACGGCCCGCCTCCTTCCTCTCTAATGCAATGCGACCCCCACCAATATTTTTTGCACATGCATCCCTTCCCTTTTTAAAATATATATATATATAAATATATTACCGGCTTTGGATTTCTTCGGCCACAAAATCTTTGCCCGATTTTCGCTTCCCGCTGAACAGCAGCACCAGCTTCGGAAACGGCGCCATAGCGGGAGCTGAGCGCCGCAGCAACTTTCCCCGCTCCCACCCCCGCCCGGCCGGATGGTCTCGTCCGGGCCCGAACGTTCCATCCGCGCGCTTCCGCCTCCCTCGCTTCGCACCAATGGAAGCGGCCCGGGCTCCGCCGCGCGCAGAGCGGGCGCGACCATTTCGGATGGGAGGGGAGGAGGAGGAGAAAGGTCCCACAAAGCGCAACGCCCCAGCAGCGTAGGAAGAGTGAAATTAGTCTGAATCACGGGAGGTGGGGCGGGGCTTCCACTAACCACGCCCACGTGCATTGCCTGCCAGAAACAGCAATAACAAAACAGTTTTTTTTCTTTTTCTTTCCCTCTTTCTTTCTTTTTCATTTTCTTTCTTCCTTCCTTTTCTCTCCTTCTTTTTCTTTCTCTTCTCTCTCTGTCTCCCTCCCTCTTTTTTCATTTTCTTTCTTCCTTCTCCTCTCCTTTTCCTTCCTTCCTTTTTTTCTTTCTCTCCTTCCCTCCCTTTCTTTTTCATTTTCTTCCTTCTTTTCCTTTCTTTTTCTCTCTCTCTCTCCCTCCCTTTCCTTCCTACATTCCTTCCCTCCTTCCCTCCCTGCCACTGGCATTTCTAGGCTACGTTTTCCATTGAAAAGGTCTTTCACGGCTGTGGGCCCAGAGAGGGTTAGATGGAATCCCACCCATCATGCACAGCCAGAGGACGATGGGGGCTGTAGTCCAAACACTAGAGATGGGGAAAGGTAGAAACAGGAGGTAGAAACCATGGCCCTTCTCCTTTCACAGATCTACTCAGGTACCTGCTTGGTGCCTGCACTGGATCGAGTTGCCTGGGAGGCTTCAAGGCTCCTGGCAGACACAAAGAAACCCCCGTCCTGCCTCTGAAACAGAATTTGCTACTTCCTCCACCCCCAGGATGCTTTTAGGTGATTTATAGGGTCTTTTTTCCAGAGCAGAATTCCAAAATAGGGAAAGGAAAAAGATGAGTGGGGACACGTCTACTTTGCCGCACAACGACCCTGCAGAGTAGGCTGGGCCCAGAGACAGAAGCCGGCTCAAAGCTTCCCTTTAGCTGTTGATAAAGATACTCTCCCTGCTCCCTCGTCCAGCCCCTACGGAGCAAGACCCCCCCCCGTCCTTCTCCAGAGCAGTTCAAGGAAATCTTTGTTCTAAATCAGTGCTTTTATTGGCTGTTGGACACACAGTGCAATCACAGACCGGGGAATAAGAGTGTCATGCGATGAGAAATTGGGCAACTCCTTGGCATTTAAGCCCCCAAGGCTGGGGTGGGAAGGGGAGGGAAGTTTTGGGGGAGGGGGGGATGTCTTTGAACCACTCTTCCGCTAAAACAAAACGTTCCGGGTCTTTACTGCGTGACGAACTCACAAAGCAGACAATTGTGGTGTTGTGAAACACGTTGGGTCAATCTCTGCAGCTCCTCTTCCGGATTTGGCGAGGTGCTGTTTAGCCTCTCGCCTGCCCTGATCGGCTCATGGGGGGAGCAAGATGGGGACCTATAGATTTAAGCTAATTTGAAGATAAATCTGGGGGGGGGGATGTTTGGGGAGAGAAGGAAGAAGTGAAAAAGGCAGGAGAAATCTGCGGGCAGAGGGGTAGAGAAGAACATTGGTGTTTCCCATGAATACAGGTAGTCCTCGACTTACAACGTTTCCTTTAGTGACCGTTCAAAGTTACAACGGCACTGAAAAACAGGACTCAGGATGGTTTTTCCACACTTACGACCTTTGCAGCACCCCTGTGGTCACGTGATCAAAATACAGACGCTTGGCAACTGACTCATATTTATGACCGTCGCAGCGTCCCGGGATAATGTGATCCCCTTTTGCGACCTTCTGACTAATCAATGAAGAATCCAGATTCGTTTAACAACCGTGTGACCGACGTGTCAGCTGTGGCAATTCCCTTAATGACCGTGGCAAGAAAAGGTCGTAAAACGGGACAAACCCCTCCCTTAGCCAGTGTCTCGCTTAACAACAGAGACTTGGGGGCTCAATTGCCGTCATAAGTCGAGGACTCTGTAATTCACCCCAAAACACGGACTGTAAGGAGGAGATCTCGGAGGCATTAGCTACTAACTTAACTGGACATCACTCCGGACATATAAGATGGGATATAAAGATCAAAGAGGGAAGGGGGGTAGGGCAACACCCCACAAAAAAAAAAAAACGTGGCAAGGAAATTAAGAAGGTTCTTCCCTGGAGACTTCCACCAAAGTCCAGATGGCCGAAGGAGGGCTAGCCGTGCGCCCGGTTCTTAGGAGGGCTCCGCTCTTTGGCGCCGTGTCCGTGAGTTGATCTGCAAGAAAGGGAGCAGATGATCACTCAACGGATTCCTTCCTTCTCCCCCCCTCCCTCCCTCTCCTCTGCCTCCTTTTCCTTCCTTCGTTTCTTCGTTCCTTCCCCCTCCCTCTCTTCCTCCTCCCCTCCCTTCCTTCCTTTTCCCTCCCTCTTCCTCTTCCTCCTCCCCTTCCTTCCTTCCTTCCTTCCTTCCTTCCTTCCTTCCTTCCTCTCTCTTCCTCCTCCCCTTTCTTCCTTTCTCCCTCCCTCCCTTTTTCTCCTCTCCTCCCTTTTTTCCTTCCTTCCTCACCTGCGCCCGGGGGCCGCCCCAAGCTGCTTCAGGATCACGTCTTCGAAATCGTCCACCCCGTCTTCGCTCACCCCCAGAGAGCGGGCCAGCTCTTCCAGGGCATCTTCAATTTTATCCAGAAAGTCCACAAAGCTGACGCGTTCGTGGGCGAAGACCCCCTCGCTGCCGAAATGACCCTCCAGCACCGGGAACAGCTCGTCGGCGTATTGCCCCCAGCCCAGCCCGGCCAGATAATTCTGCACCAGCTTCAGGAAGGCGTTCTTCTGAACGGGGGCCAGGCCCTCTCGCTGGGCGCATTCGGCGACCCCAGAACATCCCTGCGGAGCAGAGTAAGGATGCTTGGCCAGCCTCTCCCACAATTCCTGGGGTTCCATCGGCTTTCTGGCTTTCCGGGGTCCCCGCTGGTGGTCTCCACTCCTGGGGGGCTTCGTTTGGTGTCTCTTGGGGTGATGCGGCTCTTTCTCGCTGGCCACTTTGGGGTCCCTGTCCTGGTGCCGAAATTTCTCCTCCCCTTGGTATTTCTTCTGCCAAGATTTCGTTTTGCCCTGCCTGGCTTTCCACGGAACCCGCGATTCTTTCTCAGCCTCGCTGAGGTCTACCTCCTTGCCCAGCCTCTGCTCCAGGTCTTTAAGTTCCTCCAGAGGAGCTTTTTCAACCAGCCTTCCCAAATCCTGCCGAAAGGAAACCAGCAAGGAACGCAGGCGATGGAGTTCCTTCTCCTGACGCTCGAGTTTGCCAGGAGGGTGACGGGAGACGGTGTCCTCCCCGGGATGCTGGCGGGATTTGGCATCGCCCGAAGGCTCCGGCCTATGGACCTTCTCCCGGAGAAGTTGCATTTCGCCCCGGGCGGCCGACAGAGCAGCCGTCTCCCGCTTCAAGGCTTCTGCCAAACGCGTGTTTTCCGCAGCCAGATTTTGTTGCACAGAATCAACAGCTAAAGTTTTCTCTTTGGATTTCTGCAGCAAAACCTCTAGTTCTTCTTTCTGGGCCTGTGAAGCAAGCAGTAAAAAAAAAAAAGAGAGAGAGATTTTGCTCAAGATCTTATTTTTTGCAGTCGAAAAATTCTTAATTTTGCAGTCCAAAGGGTTTCATTTCTGCAGTCAAAAATTTTTATTTTTGCAGTCCAAAAGACTTCATTTTTGCAGTCCAAAAGGTTTCATTTTTGCGATCAAAAATATTCTTATTTTTGCAGGCAAAAAAGGTTTATTTTTTGGCCCTCATAAACGTTTTATTTTTGCAGTCCGAAAGCCTTTATTTTGGCAAGCAAAAACGGTCTTGTTTTTGCAATCAAAAAGATCTCTCTTATTTGCAGTCAAAACGCTCTTATTTTTCCAATCAAAAACGTCTGGATTTTTGCAATCACAAAGGGCTTATTTTTGCCAACAGAAACGTCTTGATTTTTGCAATCACAAAGCTCTTTATTTTTTGCAGTCAAAAAGCTTTTTTTTTTTTTTTGCAGTCAAAAGTTCCTTAATTTTTGCAATCACAAAAAGAGATCTTACTTTCTGCAGGTTTGGTATAAAAACTGTCCCAGGCTCTAAGCATAGAGGCCTGCCTGATTTTACAGCTTTTTCACTGCCGTCGTTACGCAAATGGCGGGTCTCCGAGTGCCCAGAGGTTGTGTGAAGACCCCTTCCCCAATACCTGAAGTTCAGCCTGCATCAGTCGGATATCCTGATTTTCCTTGGCTAATTTATCCAGCAAGATTCCCATGGCATCCAAGCTCTTTGGATCCTCAGAAAGAGCTTCCTTGCCTGCACGGAGTTGAGCGTCGTTCACAGAGTCCAGAGAGGGTGACCAGTCCTGGCAGAAGGAGGGGGAAGAAAAAATGGGGAGGGATGACCTCTTGACCACCATCATCATGGTTTGACCTGTCCTGTCTCTCTACCTGGTAGATCTGGAGCAGGGAAGAGAGAAGCATAGTTGTGTATGGGCCATTATGGTTTCCCAACTCTTAGTGGACTGAGCAATAGTAATTGTCCCATCTCTTTCCAAGGTCCATGCGCCACTAGTCCTCATGGATCTGGTTAGCTCAGACCTTCTCCAAGACTGTCCGTTTCACTGCTAGCAAAGGTTCATCGGATTGCAGCATTGGAAGGAGCCTCAATGATCAATTAGTCGGGGGGGGGGACTTTAAGATGGGTGGACTTCAACTCCCAGGAACCCACAGCCAGCATGAGTAGACTTCAACTCCCAGAATTCCCCAGTCTGTAACACTGGTTGGGGAATTCTGGGAGTTGAAGTCCACCTGTTTTAAATCAAGCTGATAACTTTTAAAAAAAAAATGACGTCAAGATCACCGCTTATCTTGTACTCTACTCTTGTATTTCTCTGTTTCTGCCTTTGCAGAAAAACCTTATTGGCCCCACCTTCCTCTGTCTGTACACAGCTATCCTGCCTTCCTTTTTGGCAAACAAATCCTCCCAAGTTCTGTTTTAATCCATTATCCCAAGGTCTGGATCAGGGATCCACCCATAACCCCATCCCTTTCCTTACCTGTCCCTTGTTGGCAGAATGCAGCCCTTCTCCATCAGAACCCGGCCCCAGGTTCAGCATATCCAGACCTCCTGAAGGTGGGGGGGGGGTGGAACGTGAAAAAAAATGTACAATTTTAAAAAATAGGGGCAGTCCTCAACTTACGACTGTTGAGCCTGGAATTACGGTTGTAAATCCTTTCGGTGCTAAGTTGAGGCATCCCGTGGCTGGAGATTTTTTTATTTTTTAAAAAATATTTTTCAGCAGTCATTTAATGGATGCAGCATTCTGCGCTTAAGGGCAGTGATTCAGTTAAGGACCGTGGCAGAAAAGGTTGCAAT